TAAGACCCACCTGAGCACAAAATACGGTCAGATTCTTTCTGTTATGGAGAAGTAAACGTAATCATAGTCAGTCATTTATCTCTTTTGTTTACTGGACAGTATTGATTGTATCAATATGAGCTCCACCAGCATTGCTTATTTTTTTTTTTATTGTTTGTCTATGAAAATGTTAGCTATAATAATTCTTTTGGTATCTTCTAGTGTGGGCACCTTGATTTTCTTTGAAGAAAATTCAATATGAAGATGTGAAAAGAGGCCAATCTAGTCTCAGTAAAAGAAGCTTATCATAGCCACCAGAGAAACAAGTTTTAAATAGCCTGCTTGTCGGTATTAAAAGAAAAATACATCAAGATGAGTGAGTCTTCAACTTGAGTGTGCATGTTAAGATCACCTGGAGGGCTAATAAAAACAGGTTTCTGAGTCCCACTCCCATAGACTCTGATCCAGGTGCTTATGTAGGCATCTGTACTTGTAACGAATTTCCAGGTGATGTAGATACTGCTGACTTGGGGACACTGTGAGAATCTCCTCTGAATGAAATATAAAGCCATTTTTATTCTGGATTATTACATTGACAACCAGCCAGATAAGGGATCTGTTAAGTCTCATTCCAAGTCTTCTGTGTAAAGGTTAAGAACTTGATATATACATGCCCTCCAGTCTCTCTGATAATCACAGTCTGACTTTTTCCTTTTTGCTATGCTTTGTCAATTTGTTTTCCTTAGTTATTTATATTGTACAAATGTGTGAAAATATCCCTGTAACAACTGTTCATTTCCTGACTTTAGCATAATCATATCAAGATCCATCCATTTTGTCCCAAATGGTACTATTTTGTCTTTTTTCATATCTGAGTAGGATTCCACTGAGTATATATAGTCCACAGATTTGTTATCCAGTTATCAGAGGCACATAGGTTGGTTCTACAAATTGACTATTGTGAACAATGCTACTATAAACATGGGAGTGTATAAACCTTCTCATATTAGGATTTTCCTTTCGTTTGGGTGAGTACCTACCAGTGATATTACTGGACCATATGGAATTTTCATTTTCATTTTTTAAGGAGCATCCATAGAGATTATACCAAATTACACTACCAACTGCAGTTTTTTTTTTCTCCATATCTACCTCAACACTTGTTGTTGCCAAGATTGTACCAAATTACACTACCAACTGCAGGTTTTTTTCTCCATATCTATCTCAACACTTGTTGTTGCCAATCTTTTTGACATGGGCCATTCTCATAGAGAAGAGGTGTTATATCACTGTGGTTTTTTATTTACATTTCCCTTGTGATAACTTATGTTAAACAGCTTTTTATGTGCCTGCCGTCCATCTGAATGCTTTATTTAAAAAACTGTTTAAGTCTTTTGCCCATTTTGATTGGGTTTGTTTCATTGTTGTTAAGTTGTGTGCAATCATTTAAAAATATTTTTAACAATATTAAAATATCATTATAAACTGATCATAAATTTTTACCTGAAACAAAGCCTCTGAACAAGCAAAAGAAATGTATGGAGGTGAAGAATATAACACACATCTTTTTTCCAGCAGTGTTTCTCAAATTGTAATGTGTTTATAAATCATGCAGTCTTTCATTCAGTCTGAGATTCTGCATTTCTGTCAAATGTACAGACATGCCATGACCTGTGATCCAGTGATCATATTTTGTGTAGTATTATAGGCATGTACTAATTCCTGGAAAATACTACATGCCTCTGTCATAAAAAAGGTACCTTTGACTAAGGCAAATTTTGGAATATGCTCATCTGTATGCCAAACTCTAGGCTTAAGAATACAGATGGGATAAATCTCTCTGGTGTGTACTGGGATAAGGTGGGGTTTTGGGAAACTGGTAACTTACTGAAGGTCCTTTATCAAAACTACTGTCCATTTCTTCACCTGCTATTACAAAGAAATGGTACCTTTCAAGAGCCCTAGTAAAAAGGACTGGGTAGGAAAAAATATGGAGGATAGACATTTATTCCAAATCTGCAGTTATTGCCATTATCACTACTAGCAACGCTGACCTCATAAGTACATCTTCAGTTCCTCTAGTTCCTTAGACTATTCTTTCACATCCTTATCTTTCTCTCTTCAAGAGGCCCTCCTGGCCTTTGGAAATCCAAAAAGCTACTGACTTTTGTTGTTCCTCCTAAATCAACAAGTTTTCTTTCCATTTTTGTGAAGGAAAAAAAAAAAAAAGACCATTGCATAGGATAGTGTTATTCCTACTAGAGTGTAAATAGATAACTGATACGTATATGAAGTTATACCATATATATGACGTTATATGTAGATAACTTCAGAAAAATTGAAAACGTTTCATAGCCTCAATCAAAAGTGAAGAGGCAGTTCAGAAAAGAAGAAAACTCTTAGTCAGGAGCAACAAACAGTATAAATTTTGCCTTTCGCATGACTATGCTTTAGTAATCATCATCTGGGGGTTTGCATTCTGCACAAATGAATAGGGTAGGAATCCCACAAAGCACTGCATGGATAACCTTTGTAAGTAGATTCTCAGAATACATTCAAGGTTTGACTGTAAAGTTGCCCTGGATAACTAGTGGTGAATTGTCAAAGTCCACAGATGAAGGAATGTAACAAGAAGATGGTCTAGTTTAAGAAATTGCCATGGGAAAAGATACCAACATCAGTACACACACACACACACACACACACAGACCCTCAGCACCCACAATTCCGCAGTACTTTAAAGCTCTGCCTTCACCACATGCATTGAATTGTGGGCACTGACATTGCCAAGAAAGCTTCTCTTTCAGTGAAAAATCAGAATTTTAAAGAACTCTTGTATCCACCACTGTAAGCTTAACTAATATACTTGTACTTGAAGGCTTTTCTAATGTGATTAGAAGTGAGTTTATTAAATGTGAATTTTTTATACTGTATAATTAAATGTGTTGACTTTTGATAGATAAACATGACTTAGCAAATCATTATATCCAAATGAATACCTTGGGTTTTGAAATTATGTGTGGATAAAAGATCCATTCAATATGCCAGACATACCAATGGGTTTTAATGTAAGAGAATATGAAAAGTGCATTAATATGGATTCAGGTTGCAACTACTAGCCACAAATCTTTAAGAAAATGACCACTTTTCAGATTTTGGTATAACATTAAAAACTACCCATAACTATCTGAAAAAAAACGCTTAAATATTCTTCCCTTTTCCAATCACAATCCTGCTTGATGCCACAGTTTCTTCAAATACTTCTTCTGAAATGGTATATCACAACATATTAAAAGTAGAAGTAGACACAAATCCAGCTATCTTCTCTTAAACTAGACATGAACAATATTTATAAAGTATGTAGAATAATGTCACTCTTCTATTTGTGTATGTGTTAGAAAATACAGGCATCTTCATATAGTTTGTATGCTGTATTTTAAAAAGTTTATCATTAGATACATATGAATTTTCTTGATTTTAATTTTTACGTGGTAAATACTGATAGATACAAGACATATAAACAAAAAGCACATGGAGCTCTCAATTATTTTGAAGGGTATACTGAGATTTTGAGACAAAAGAATTAAGAACTGTTAGTAGTTGCTCACTATATTTCAAATATTTGTGTCTCTGATTATTGCACAGAATATGTGCTATATTTTATGCCTGTGAAACATTATAATAGAAAATATTTTCTCTCACATAGTAATTTTCATGTATTACAGAAAATTAAGTCATAAACATGGAAAAAACAAATATAAACTGAAAGTACATATAAACAATACAGATACACATTTTTTTTTTTTAATCTCTGACCTGAGAAATCTAATATCTACAATTGGGCTAATTTTTTTTTTAAGATTTATTTATTTGTGCATACAGAACTGGGGTACAGGCCAGAGGCTCAGGGGAGGTGAGAGGCTTCTCCAGAGACAGAGTGGGGAACAGAACAGGCAGATCCACGGAAGTACACTGCTGAGGGGAGCAGCGGGAGAGTCAGGAGAGGTCTGCCACTCCATGTGGTCACATCCGGGGCAGGCAGGAATAGAACTCATGTGGAAGCTAGATTCTCAGTGCTGTGCTTTAACACCCTGTGCCACCAGGGAGGGCCTAATTGGGCTAATTTACATAGAATACATTCTTAGATGCCAACACGATTTACAAATATACTGGCTCCAGCATTTTTTTTCATGTCTCATGAAGACATGAGAAGGTTGAACTCTAAATTTGGTCATGACTATAGAAGGTAACAGTTACAGAAAGTCTCACTTTGGGAATATACTGTTTTTTATTGATGCAAACAAGAACTGGGGTACAGGCCTGGGATGGGTGTGGAGGAGAGAGTTCACCAGACAGAGTGGGGAGCATGAGGGGAGCAACCCACAGGACAGGAGAGGTCTGCTGTGCCATGTGGGTCAGCTCCCTGGTAAGAAAATAAACTCGTGATGCACTGGCTGCAGATAACTTCATAATGATGGCTTTTACCACTTGCGCCATTAGAGAGGCCCCAACATACTTATTAATCTCTCACCTATGCTAATTTTTCTTCCAAGTAACCTTTTTTTAGATTAGTACCTCTTCTTTCAGATAGTTATATCTGATTAGTTATCTCACTACTACTTTAAACCTATGCTCAATGTAACTTTTTCAATAATGTCTGAGATTCCTATTTAAAAGCTGCCCTATCAACCCTCTCCTTTTTTATGATCCTCTTTTATTTCTTCCATAGTGTTACTTTATAACCCACCACACTGTGTCCTCATTTTAAGTCTCTCTCCATGAGAACATAAACTCTGCGGTAAAAGACCAGGTGCATTTTATGTCAACATTTTGAGAGCTCAGCACATAGTAAACGCTTAACGAAGTATACCATTAACTCATCATTTCATTGTTCAGGAAGCTGGGCAAGACCTTTACGCTTAAATTTACTTTTTGGTACCTTTTAAACAAAATATGTCTGTTTCTTTAAGAACTTTCCAACCCGGAAGTAAAAGTTTACGGAACAGGGTCAGAGGAGGAAGCTACTTCCGTTCCCTACCGAGGAAGCAAACATCATGGCTGGTGATAAAAGTGGGGGCAGCGGTAAGAAAGGCCTGAAACGAAAAGTTGCTACTGAAGAACCTCAAGAGGCTGCAGTCGCTGAGGATGGGACGACAGAAAGTGGGGTCCCACCCCCGAAAGCGACTGCCTTCCCTCCAGGCTTTAGCATTTCGGAGATTAAGAACAAACAGCGGCGACACTTAATGTTCACGCGGTGGAAACAGCAGCAGAGAAAGGTAAGAGAGGGGCGGAGGTGGCCGGACGCATGCGCCCTGTGCCTCCTGGTTGCTGGACCACAGTGGGGGAGCATATTATTCGCGTGATGGCAACTGCCAGGGGGTTCCGCTGGGTGGTGATTATAAATGGGGGAAGGCAAAATCGCGCCTTCTGGTCCTGGACACTTCAGATTGGCAGCTCTCTGGGTTCACCGTTTTCCTGAGCCTTAAGGATTCCTTTTACTAGCTATATCCTAGGGTCCTCCACTGAAATAAAAGCAAGAGTCCTGCCCTCCTTATAGTGAATACTACTCTCCCCGGACCTTAAAGTTTTTGTCTCACTTCGTACTTTCCAACTATCGTTAATTCCTAGAACATGTAATACAGGTAATACATATCGAGATTTATATGCTGCTCGATTCTTGCAACAACTGTTACTGTACTGTAAAGTTTCTACTAATTGCATTTATTCTTTGCAACGTTATCTTCATATTGTTCTGGAGGTATATAGGAAGAGAATAAAGAGTTCTAGATAACTTCCCCAAGCTACACTGCTCCTTTGTGGTTAAATAGCCATAGGAAGCAAGCATTTACTTATTCTTCCACATTACACAAGTTCACATATGTGATATTATTTTTATTTGCCTGTCTTCTCATACTAAACTTTTTGAGGCTGTGGAATGGTCTTTTTTTCGTCGTTAAGTGCTTGAGTTGTTGGAGAACATAAAAGGAGCATTTAATTCATTCCAGTGTGCTGTGATAAGGGAAGGAGGTTCTGGGACACTTCTTGGGACAGTATTTGTTATCTGAAACCTGATGGATTAAAGGGGTGCTGGGGCAGACTAGAGAGGTGTATTGTGTATCTAGCATTCTATTCAGAAATCTTTCAAAGGTATGTTTACAGACACACACTCTTTGCAAGTTCTTCATTGTTACAAAATTTGTGGATAGTGTTAGTTTTATTGGAAACACCCTGAAAATTCATCTCTTATACCCACTTGTTTTTGATGCTTTCCAGGAGAAGAAACCAACATAACCTTGGTTTAATTTCAGATTCAAACTTGTTAGCCTTGCAAAACAAAACAGCAAAAACTTGTTAACTTCTCTAGTATATATTTTGACTTGACACTTTATATTAAAAAGCTAAAGCTGTTAAAATTTTAAGTACTTAAACTTGCCAATTTAGATATTTTTTTTAAAGGAGCAAGATCTTTGTTAAATGTTACTAATTGACCAGCTCATTTGATTTACAGTAGCTTGTATATGAAAATCTATTTATTTTTAAAGATTTTATTTATTTATGCATACCGAACTGGGATGCAGGCTAGAGGTGCATGGCCAGTGAGAGGATTCACCAGAGACGGAGTGGGGAGTAGAACAGGCAGATGGACTAAGGACATTGCCGAGGGAAGCACCAGGTGAGACAGGAGAGATCTGCTGATCCATGTTGGTCACCTCCAGAGCTGGGGATTGCACTCTTATTAAAGTGGCTGCTGCAGGATTGCAGCGCTGGGCACCACAAGGGAGGGCCCCTGAAAATGTATTTAAGGTGTTTATTTTAATAGACAACAAAGATTTGTTCAGGTTAAGTATTCATTGAATTAATAAACTGTAGTTTTTGTGTGTTTGTGATATAATTTGGTTTCTCAATTTTTTTTTTTTAATCTTTTAGGAAAAGTTGGCAGCTAAGAAAAAGCTTAAAAAAGAGAGAGAGGCTCTTGGTGATAAGGTAAATAAAATTTTTCACCACTTCGCACAGTGTTAGACTCTTTAATACTCAACATTCAGTAGGTCACAGCAAATTTCTGTCTTGATCACTATTTGATAGTAGTACGAATTCTTGTTTCATGGGAAGAAAAATGACTTCCTAAAACAAGAAATTTCTTAAAACTTAATATTTGTTTCAGAGTAACAAGAAATAAAATCCTGAATAGTTTAACTATCTCTGCTGATGCACATATATTTTGGATTAATTTTAGTTTTTGCTTACAATTTTGTCTTTTTGATTCTTAATATTTCATTTACTCAATTTTTGGTGTAAACTAAGTATGCCTGATTGCTGATTCCAATAGTATTTCATCATTTTGATATTCTCTAATATGTTTATTATTTATGCTATTGTTGGACATTTATCCTATTTGTTGTTCATTAACAATAGTGATATGTAGTTTTTATATAAATTACTTCTACCTTTCATTTGTAAAATTAACTACAAACTGGTTCAGCAAATAGAAACAAATTAGTAGCTTTTGGTATTTATTTCTGGATAGCTTTCTGGAGTTATTGGTACAAAGTAACATATGTATATACTGTTGTGATTATTTTTTTCCCCCCATTCTGTTCCACATTTTCTCATTGGTGGATAATTATTTTGATCCTAATTTTTTTCTTTGCTAATTTGTCTGACATTGTTGTATTCAATATTAGCAGGTTTTCTAGTGTGTATGTCTGCTCACAGCGTTAAAAAGCTTGCTCAATGTTGTTAAGGTTGATGTAGTGGTGAGTTGAACTAAGGAACAGATGGTTTTTTGGATTATGTTCAGATTTCTATTGCTCTTCCCTACCTGTAATACAAAATTATTAATGTACAATGCTATCATGATTTTTTTTTTATTTAGGCTCCACCAAAACCTATACCCAAGACCATTGACAACCAGCGAGTGCATGATGAAACCATAGTAGACCCTAATGATGAAGAGGTAATGTTAGAAGTCTTTAGTCATTTTGGATGACCATACTTGATGAATTATTTGTTCATAAATTAATGTTTAAAGTGCTGACTGATAAAGTTGTATGATGGACTGACTCAGGTATAATGATGGCATGTAATCTTATTACTTATTATAGATTATTTCATATTTGAATTTTCCAATAATGCTATAGAAAAAGTAGTTACTGTGTAGAAATATATGGTTATACTTCAGTAAGCATCTATATTGGTTATTTAATCTCTGAATCATACTGCTGAGTTTTTTACATCACTTGAAAAGCCTTCCTCGCACTATAGACCTTTACTAATGGGTTTTATTGTGTTTACTAAAAGCATTTTGATATCTCAGTATAACATTTGATTTTTTTTTCTGCCCTCATAAATCTCTTGGTTTTAAGATAATCTTCCAGTTTTTGCATTTTCCCTTTAAATAATTTGTGACAATAAACTTGGCTTTGTTAGGCTGTTGCTTTCAAGAAATGTTGTTATTAATATTCTTTCATATATCTATTAGTATCTTTAGTCAATCTTCCAGCAAGTGTTTATTGGATCTGTTATAAAAATCCAGCAAGTGTTTATTGGATCTGTTATAAAGAATTGGGATCCATCAGTGCACAAAACACACATAGACAGTTTTAGCCCACCAAGAGTTTACATCTAGAAAGAGCAAGAATAAACATAATAATATATGTTAGCAGATGATTGGTTGCTAAAGGGAAAAAAAGAAGGAATTATGAAGAAGGTTCAAGGCTACTTGGAACAGAGAGAATTTACAGTTTAAATATATATAAATATATATATAAGGGTATGTGTGTGTGCATTTTTATTTTATTTATTTTAATAGAATTTCAGATTTTATTGTAAAATAGAGTCATGTATACCCTTTACTCAAATTTCCTGAGTGTTAAATTGTACCATACTTGATTTTCATTTATAGTTTCTCTGAAAGGCGTAATAGTTAAGTGGCAGACACAGTACCTCTTTAGTGTATTGCCTATAATAATTGTTTTTTACTAGCCACAGTATATAGTTAGCAGAATTCAGACAATTAGCACAATATATGATATTGCTACCTATAAGCCAGTTTCCTAGTAATGTCATTTTTAGCAAAAAGAAAATTCCAAGTATGTTTCATGCATAGTAATGACTCTAACCTCCTTTGACTTTCTTTGCTTTTAATGACGTTAATGTTTTGGAAGAGTATAGATCAGTTGTGCTGTAGGTGTGCTCTTAAGTGAGTGAGTTTCCTCATGATGATAATTCAGTTTATGGAATACCTGTGATCTTTTTCAGTGCCCTTAACAGGAGTCATATATTGTTGATTTTTCCACCACTAGTTATGTTAATTTTCGTCTCGATTAAAGTGGTGTCTGCCAGGTTTGTCCTCTATAACGTCTATATTTCTCTTTGTATTCTTTAAGTAAAGGGGAATAGTTTGGGATTCTGAAAAAATCTAAGTTACTCTTCAAACTTTCAGTCAAGATATTGTAATTATAAGCAGTTATTTCCAATCTGATAGGAAGGAAATTATATCTCTGTAGTCTTAATTTGCTGATCTCTTATTATAGTGGAGATTGAGTATCCTTGGTATATTTCCTTTTTTTCTGAAGCAATTTTTTGTTTACGCTGCTTCCTTTTTTTTTTTTTAATTGGGGTTGCAATTATATATATCTATGCTAGTGAGAGCAGGCTTCACTGAGCAGGCTTAACTGAGGGGTCACTGAGGTGACCCTTATCATTATCAGCAAGGTTTGAAGAATAGAAGGTATCTAGCTATCTTTGGGCAAAAATTTTTCCAGGATAAGGAAAAAGCAAGTGTTAAATCTCCAGGGCAGAGCATGCTTACTGTGTTTTTAAGGAACAATAGGAGATCACTCAAGCTGAAATTAGTTGGGGGAAAATTATAGATGAGGTGCTGGGAAAGTATGCAGAAGAGTGGCCACTTCAGGGACTTTGTTGACTATTGTGAAGACGATCTCTTTTACACTTAGTGAAATGGAAAACTAGTGAATGATTTTGAAAAGAGGAATGGTGTGACTAGACTGAATTTTAAAAGTTGATTAAAACTAATTGGCTGCTGCTCTGAAAACATAGGAAGGTAAGTCTAGTTAGGGAGTAGGACGCTACAGAAGTAACAGGGAAGAGTGATCAGATCTCTGCATTGATCTGAATTCTGAGGGTTTTCCTCCCACCCCAACTTGGGTATACTTTTAAACTAGAGCTCTTAGAATGTTTTCATAGTTTGGATAGAGGGTGTGAAAGAAAGGAGATTCAAAGGTGTTACTGAGATTTTTTTTATAGCCAGAGTCGATGGAGTTGTCAGTGACAGGATAAGGAGCGTTTTTGGCAGTATCTTAATTGGGAATGGTAAGCATATGGAGACTACATATATATGTAAAAATTTCTCTTAATACTTACTTAGGGGACAATTTGTGTGTAAATGTTTCACATATCTGAGAGCACCAAAATGGTTTCCAAGTATTGATCATATGATTCTGCACTCAGGTAATAAAAAAGCAATTTTGCCCCTCTTCATCCACATGCTAACCAATGATTGTTATATTCAGACTAGTGGTAAAGGACTCATTGTAGTTTGAATTTACAACTCCCTGATTTCCAATGTGGTTGAGTACTTTTTTCATGAATGGATTTACTTTGTTTTCAGTGAAGATATGCCAGCTCATGTTTTGCCCAATTGTCTACCATGTGTATTTTACTGAATGCTAGAACTTCCCTTATCATTTGGATACTAATCATTTTTCATGTGTCTTCTAATTTTTATATTCTCTTTTTTTATTTTTTTAAGGTGTCATGATTAACAAAAGTTCTTAATAGAATTGGGGTTCAAAACCTTTTGATATTTAATGCTTTTTGTGTTTTTTTTAAAGGAATCTTTATCTTGTGACCATCTGTTCTCATATTTTATTCTTAAAAAAATTAACAGCTTGCCTTTCACATTTATGTACTTAGTCAGCGGGAATTTATTTCTCTGGCCTGAGAAAGGAAACTATTTTTTTCTTTCTTTATGCTGCCTGCCCCTCCCCCCATATGTAACCATTTCCCCCAGCACCATTTTTAGAGTAGTGCTACAGCCTTTCCCCACAGTGTATTGTAACGCTTTGTCATATAGCAAGTGTCCATATATGCTTGGCTTTTTTCTAGGCTCTCTATTTGTAGACAGTTTGTTTGTCGCAGTATCCTTTCTTTAATTTTTGTTATTTAGTTTCGTGCTAATTTTGCTATCTCTTAAGGCTTAGGTGTCCCCGTCCAGTCCTAACCCTGATTACTTCTTTTCAGCACTATTTTCTTCCTCAGCCTTTGGTCTTCTATATAAAATTACAAAGCATTTCTTTAAATACTGAAGTCTTCTAATACTGAAAATGTGTTTCAGTAAATTTCCTGATTTTCTGATGTAGATAGATAGATAGATATAAACAAGACTTAATGTATAAAACTTGTTTTATACATTAAGTCTTGTTTATATCTTACCTGGGTGTCTTTATTTTCAAAATAAAATTGCATCTCTTTGAAAATATTTTATTTTCTGATTTATTGATTCTTCTTGAAATTTAATTAGGTTTTGCTTGGCATTTTTTATTAAGTTTCCTCTGATCTATATTATGTCTTTACTTATGCTAACTTTTCATTTGCTATTCTTTTTCTAGCTTCTTAAGATAGAAATGAGATTATTGATTTTATACTTTAAAATCTCTTAAAGCTCTGGTTTTTCTACCTATGCACTGCCTTTGCTATGTTTCTCTTGTGAGTTTTTCTTTGGCTCATCATTCATTAAGAAGTGTATTTTTGATTTCCAAAAAGTTGAGGATTTCCCTGGTTTCTTTTTGTTGTTGATTTCAATTTAACTTTATTCTGCTTGTAGTACATATTTAATTTTAGACCTTTTCAATATCAAACTAAAAGTCATCTACAAATAAAAGCAAGGGGATCCTCTGTTATTTTGAGACTGAACAACATACTGCTAAAATACTACTGGCCTACTAAGGAAATCAGAGAATATGTCAAAAATTATCTTGAGATAAGTTATAATAAGGAAACCAACATTTAGACTGTATGGGATACAGTATAGTATTAACAGGGAAATAGATAGCAGTAGGACCTCATCAAGAAACAAGAAAAAAAGATGATGATAATAATCACCAAAATGGAGATAATAAAACTCAAAGCACAAATAAATGAAATAGAAGTAAAAAAAGACAGTGCAAAAGATCAGTGAAACCGAAAGTTGGTTCTTTGAAAAAGTAAGCAAAATAGACAAATCTTTAGCCAGACTCACAAAGAAAAAGAGGAAGAAAATTCAAATAAATAGGGTCATAAGTGAAAGGAGAAATTAGACAGCAGAAATCCGGGGGATAATTAGAGGTGGCTAGAAATAATCTGAAGTTTTATTTATTTATTTTTTAAAAGTTTATGTATTTATGCATATAGAACTGGGATACAGGCCAGAGGTGCAGGGGAGGTGACAGAGACAGAATGTGGGGAGCAGAACAGGCAGGTTGAAAAGTACACTGCTGAGGGGAGCAGCAGGCGAGACAGGAGAGGTCTGCTGCTCCATGAGGATCACCTCTGGGGTTAGGGATCCAACTCGCACTGAAGTGGCTGCAGCTAGTTTGCAGTGCTGCACCTTAGCCAGCTGTGCAACTAGGAAGGGCCACTAGGAATATTTATATGCAAACATTTCAACAATCTAAATGAGATGGACAAATTCTAGAAGTATATAATCACCCAGGATTGAATAAAGAAGAAATAAAAAATTTGAACAAATCAGGTACAAGCAAGGAAATTGAAACAGTGATCAAAACTCTTCCAAATAATAAAAGCCTTGGGCCATATGGTTTCACAAGGGAAACATTCTACCAAAAGTTCAAAGATGAACTAGTGCCTCTACTACTAAAATATTCTTAACAATTGAGAGAGTAGGAATACTTATAAATATATTTTATGAGGCTAACAGCACACTAATAACAAAACCAAGCAAAGACAACACAGTAAAAGAAAACCACTAACCAGTTTCCTTAATCAGTGCAGATGCTAAAATCCTTAAATAAAATCTGAGCAATCAGAATCCAACAATGCATCAAAAGACCTATACACTATGACCCAGTGTGATTTATTCTAAGGACAATGGGTGGGTCAACAGCAGAAAGTCAGTTAATTAAACTTACTACATCAATAAAAAGAAAAATAAAAACCACATTTTTATTAGAACCCAAGAAAACATTTGACAAACTTCAACATACATTTATGTAAGGTCCTTGAAAAACTTGAAATAAAGGGAACATATCTTAACATAATACAAGCCATATACAACAAACCCATAGCTAACATCATTCTCAATGGTAAAAAACCGAAAGCTTTTACACTAGGATCTGGGACAAGGCAAGGGTGTCCATGACAAGGGTGTGTCAACTCTCACCACTGCTATTCAGTATGATACTGGAAGTCCTTGCCAGAGCAGTTAGGCAAGAGAAAGACAAAAGGAATCCAAATTGGGAAAGAAGTAAAGCTACATTTGCATATGACACAATATAGAGAATTCTTAAATACTTACACTTACACTCCCCAAAATTAAATACTTGGGAAATAACAAAGGAGATGAAAGACCTATACAAAGATTATAAAACATTGTTAAAAGAAATAGAAGACACAAAGATATGGAAAGATACTCCTTGCCTCAGGGATTAGAAGAACCAGCATTATCAAAATGGCTATCCTACCAAAAGCCAACTACATATTCAAGCAACTCAATAAAAACCTCAGTGACATTCTTCAAAGAAACGGAACAAATGTTGCTGAAATTCATATCGAATCACAAAAAAAAAATAGCCATAACTGTCTTGTCTAAGAAGGGTAAGAATAACAGTATTACACACCCAGACTTCAAACTATACTATAATAATTAAAATGGCATGGTATTGAAACAAAACAAGCTCACAAAAAAATGGAATCAAATATTAGCCCAGAAATAAAACCATACATATGTGGTCACCAAGTCTATCCCAAAGAAGTAAAGAACATGCACTGAAACAAGGTAGCTCTTCAGTAAGTATTACTGGGAAAACTGGACTGCCACTTGCCAAAGAATGAAGCTAGCTAGACTTGTCATCTGACATCATATACAAAAATCAACTCAAAGTGGATGTGAGACCCGAAATCATAAAATACAGAGAAGAAAACAAAGGCAAAACACTCCCAAGACACAAACTTCAGAAACATCTTCAAGGACTCATCTCCAGAAGCAAGAAAAGCAAAGGAGTGTATAAATAACTGGGACTATATCAAACTAAAAACTTTTGTACTACAAAAGAGACAGCAGCCAAAATAAAGAATCAGAAGAAAATACAAACCATATATGATATCAGAAGAAAATAAAAACTATATGATAAGGGACAGATAGAAAAGATAATACAAAGAGGTCACACAGTTTAACAAAAACAGAGAACTCCTAAAAAGACACCACTCCAAAGAAGAAAAGAGGAAAATGAAAAGTTGTCCATCATCACTCATTATCAGGAAACTCAAAAGCAAAACCAGAGTGGGTTACCATCACACACCTAGAGAATGGCCTGTAGTTAAAAAAAACAAAAACAGTTTTTGGCAAGGATGTGGTGAAAAAAGAACCCTCTTACACTGCTGGTGGGAATGCAAACTGGTTCAGCTACTATGGAAATCTATGAAGGTTCCTCAAAACACTAGAAATGGCTGGATCTACCTTTGACTCAGCTATTCCACTCCTCGGAGTCTGCAGAAAGGACCCAAAAACATTAATTCAGAAGGAGAAATGCATGGCTTTGTTTGTTGCACTATTTACAATAGCCAAAATATGGAAACAAAAGCACTTCGTCTAAAAACAAGCTTTTAACAATAAATAAATAACCATCTTTATGCAATAAAAGGAAAAAAAATTGTCTTTTTCAGTTAAGCACTCATATGTCCTTGCATGGAATCTGTTTCTGGATTGTGCTGTGCGTGCCCTTGAAAATATGTATTCTGTTTCGGGGTCAGATGGGAACATTATATTTACACATAGATGTCTTTACTAAATGACCCCAGCAAAGCTGAAATGATAGGCAACAAAGTCTGTCCTTGCTGAACTCTGAATGAAAAAAGTTGCCCTCCAAAATTGGATGGCTTTGGACATTATTCCGACCTCATAGAGGCACCTGTGCCACTCCAAACAGAATGCCAGGTGTTCGTATTTGTTAAATCAGTAACATACCATTATTCAATCTTGTGAGGACAAATTCTTGTGAATCCTTGAGTGATCCTACCCCAACCGAAGGGAGTTAGTAAAGCAGTGGTTAGGATTATGAGGCTCTTGGAGAGTTGTTACTGATTTTTGGTAGTCATTCTCCGAACCTGTTTTCTCTTGCCTGTGCCTGAATTGTTGCAGTGGCATCTGTCTCAATGCAGCCACTCTAAATGAGCCAATTCCCCCCTAGTAAAACCCTTGCTGACCACTCGGGGCTCATTGCACAAGATGGGTGTGTGTGAGATTTAAAATCCAGTGAGGAGAGGTGGAATGTTGGGGCAAGCCATCAAGAGAATGTGACCACCCCTACCTGCTGAGAGCCCGGCCCTGGGGCATTTGGAGGCAGCTCACCTCCTCCCTTGGAATGCACATTATATCAGCTTGCCACTTTGAAAACTCTTCTTAGGCCAAACAGGACAAACTAATTTCCCTCATTAAAACTACCACCTACCAATATCTTAATGGCTACATTTCTTCTACTCCTCCTCAACTACTCCTTTTTTTTAGTATATCATCTTAATTCCACTTGATTTTTTTTTTAAGATTTATTTATTTGTGCATACAGAACTGGGATACAGGCCAGAGTTCAGGGGTGGTGAAAGCCTTCACCAGAGACAGAGTGGGGAGCAGAACAGGCAGATCGATGAAGTACACTGCTGAGGGGAGCAGCGGAGGGGGGGGGGGGTCAGGAGAGGTCTGCCGCACCATGTGGTCACCTCCGGGGCAGGCGGCAGACGGAATCAAACTATCAAACTCATGCGAAAGTGGTTTCAGCTTTCTAGTGCTGTGTTTTAACCCACTGCGCCACCAGGGAGGGCCTAATTCCACTTGATTTTTAAGATATAGTTTAGGTTTGATTTTTTTAAGTGGTTGCTCTAGGAATTAACAGTATGCATCTTTATCACAATCTACTTCAAATAAAGATTGACAACTCTGGTAATGACTTCATTTCCTCCATTTTTGTTTGTGCTGCTGTTTTTATATATACATACCTGGCTATGTTAAAATCCAGTGTTATAATTATTGGTTTAAAATACTTTATGTTTACAACTGTATTCATCATTTATAGTGCTCATCTTTCCTTCCTTTGGATTAATTACATCTGGTGATCTGATGGTTTTGTTTTGTTTTGTTTTTTTCTAGTTTATAGGATTTCCTTAAGTCTGTTTTTATAGCGAGGTTATTAGCCAATTATCCTGTTTTTATTTCTCTGAAAATGTACTTTTTTTAGGCTTCATGTTTAAAAGATAATTTTGCAGGAAACAGAACCTTGGTTCACTTTTTTTTATTTCAGTATGTGACCATATTCCACTTAATCTTTAATTTCTGATGGCAAGTCACCCATTAGTCATCATTATTCCCCTGTACATAATTTATTTTTATCTTTTTTTTTTAAAGTTTCTCATTTTGAATTTTAGTAGTTTGATTGTGATGTGTTTAGGATTTGTTCTTTTATTATATGCGTCTGGTTTATTGAACTTTGATCTGTTAATGTTTTTCATCAAACCTGGGAAGTTTGTATCCTTTATTTCTTTAATACTTTAAAAAAAATTCCTTCCTCTCCTCTTCTGGAACTCCCTCTTCACAACTATTGAAAAGGTTAGCATTGTCCTACAAGTTTCCCAGCTTTGCTTTTGTGTGATTGTTTTTTCTGTTCTTTAAAGTAGATAATGTTTATTGACCTATTTCCCATATTTTCCCTTTCCTTCAATTCTTTATAGTTACTTTGAAATTTTTGTTAAATACTATGTCTAAGCTTCTTATTTTGTTTTCATTGAAAACAAAATACTTTTTTCGTGATTATACTTTTTTTGTGATTATACTTCTTTTTTGTCTTTCGCATGGCCAATATTTCGTTTGATATGTGGACATTTTGGTTTTGTTTCTTTTTAAAATTAACTTGCCTAACAGTGTGAAATTGTCTCTGGTAACTGCAGTATGTCTCTCTGCTCGTTTTTTTTTAATTGTTGTTTCTACCTCCCTTCTTAGGAGTCAGTACACATTGACTTAATAATCAGTTACTTGGTCAGCGGTTATGTTGCATGTTGAGCCCCTAAGGTTTACATATCTTCTACCACCTGAGTTGTATGTTTGTTTGAGGGATGCATCTAGTGCTGTAGCCAGTTCTCAAGTCTTTCTTGCTTTTCATGTCTCTCCCTTGGCTAGTTCAATTTCCAGGCACGAATTTGTGGAGGGAGTGTCTTAGCCGCTCTGACTCTCATTCATTACCTGAACTGGCCTTTAAATCTCTGGCTTACTCACATCTACCCTGCACTGAGTCTGTAACCAGCCATTCTGAATCTAGTCCAAACATCTGGATTCAGGATTGCTGGTATTTGCCTACCATCAGTTCTCAGATTGGCAAAGTTCATTTTCACCAATCAAATTAGTGGGGGAAATGGAATTGCTCTTGGCAAGATTTCTGATGTTCTCAAGAATAAACCCTCTGAGTTTATGTCCTGAAGTTGTTTTTTCCCAATTTTAAACTCTACTCTGCAGAAAGGAAGCCACCTAGCCTCTTCCTTTTGCCATTAATATGAATCCCTCTTAGGCCTTCTTTAAATCCCCCAATTAAATGAAAGTATACACTCACACAATGCTACCAGAACTACTTTTAAAATCCTGACCCAGAATAATAATTTGGGTAATGTAAGATTGTTTCTTTTTCTGATCTTAGGTTGCTTATGATGAAGCTACAGATGAATTTTCTTCTTACTTTAATAGACAAACTTCTCCCAAGATTCTCATTACAACATCTGATAGACCTCATGGGGTAAGCACATCTTACTAGTATAATTCTTGAATTCTTATTTCTTATGTCACTCAGAGTATTTGAAGCATTCTGATCAGACAAGCTAAATTATTAGTAATTATCTTATACAATTGCTATAAAAAGCTAAATAAAATGTAGTACTGATGACCTGTTTGTAGGGCTAACAAAATAAAACCTTCAGGATAGGGTTTCTCAACCCAGCACTATTAACATTTTGATTGACTTTTTGTTACAGAATTGTTGTTCACAGTCGGTGTGTAACAGTATTCCTGGCCTCTGTCCATCAGATACCAGTAGCAGCTATGTCCCCTCCACCATTACCCATCATAATTACCAAAAAGGATGTCAGATATTGTAAACATCCCTTGGTTGGGCAGAATTAACCCAGTACTGCATTAGGGTGATTAGCTATTGAAAAAGGCTAGAACACGTCAGATTTTGTTCTTTTCCTGGCAGTCTCTATTTATAACTCTAATAGCAATCATTACTCCTTTCCTTATAATAACATATTATATAACATTTTTATTTTACACGTCTGAGGATTCTGTTATTTTGTTTTATAGAGAACCGTGAGACTCTGTGAACAGCTCTCTACAGTTATACCAAATGCCCATGTTTATTACAGAAGAGGACTTGCTTTGAAAAAAATTATTCCACAGTGTATCTCCCGAGATTTTACAGATCTAATAGTTATTAATGAAGATCGTAAAGTACCAAGTATCCTTTGTTTTTTTTTTAAAAGTTTTCTTGTGTCACTTTCATTGCCTTTTAAGATATATTTAAAAGAATAAGGGGAAATGATCCCAGTAAAGTTCCAGTACCTCATTTTAAACCCAAAAGTAAAGTGAATCCAAGAGTCAGAGAAATAATTTTTCCTTTTCTTTCAGCAAACACAGTAGGGGAGATATTAATCTTTAGTAAAAGATACAAGATAAATAAGAGAATCAGCTTAAAGGAACTCATAATCTAGTAAAAGACAGTAGGCATGTAAGTTAACAAAAGTATAGTGTGGCTAGTGCAGTTAAAGAGAACTGCAGGATACAGTGCAGAGTGCCTGGTAAAGTCAGCCCTGGGCATATCAAGGAACAAGGACTTGGTGGATAAAGATGCTTTAGCTCAGTCTAAATAGTTACGAGTAAATGAGATGAATAAGACATAGGAAGCGTACCCACTGTAAACAGATAGCTTTTGGAAAGGTAGGAATAATCAAAGAGTTGACCCAGTTGGGACTCTGCAAATAGTTTAATATGCCTAGATTTCATGTTTTTCATGGAAGGGCTTTGAGGCCAAATTATGTACTGTTGTGTCAAAATTCTACTTTCTAGAAGAGAAATTTATCAAATCTGTGAACTGTGAGTCAGATAGATGCATGCCAAACAAATTAAGATTTCATTACTTTGCTACTTTTGTAAATCAAATGTCTACCCACTGTTTCCTTGTGTTTGAAATGTAGGAAGTAATACTTAGCTTTGGATTTCCCATAAGGGTCTCATCAAATATATTACTGCTAGGTCATGTTGCTTGACTGTGTAAGCATGTTAGTAAATGGTGTAATGGGAAGCACAGAGACTTTCTGGACAGACCTATTATTTTTAAATGGAAATTTGAGATAGGGTATTTCTTATGCCAGAGTGGTTTTGCATTCCTTGCATTCTTGGATACTAAATACCAGTCATTAGGATGGGATGCCTCCAAAGATTTTGAAATCAGGTAGCTGCCAGTCAAGGGCTTAGGCATTGGTAATCCCACCCTTGTGAAATCTGCCTTGTTCTGAAATTTGATCTGATTTACGGAACCCTTCTCAGCCTCTTCTTTATTGAAGTACTGTTAATGATTCCTTTTTTGCATTATTTATGTTAGGGATTAGCTAACAAAACTTTTTGTACAGTGCATGTATTTATGAGTTGATGTTTGGGTTTTGTAGTTTTGACACAAACCACAATGTAGTGGTGTTTTTTTTTGTTTGTTTGTTTTTTTTAGAAAGAACTTTACCTTTGAGTTAAGCTTGAAGTAATGACCTTACCTCTTCTAAGCCCCTTACGGGTTTCATTGTATAATGAGTAAATGATACAGATGTACTTTTGGCTATACCTCATGATGTTGAATTTTTCAATTCATTTACTGATAATCTGATATAATTTGATATGTGGCAAGCACTAATTTCAGAGACAGAGCTATCTTCCTAGAGCTAAGAGATTGATGGAGAAGAAAGGCCATGTACATGATTATAATTCAGATAAGTTAACACTTGGCCATACTAATAGCGGAGATTTAGAACTTAATTTTGACTGTAAAGAGAGTGGCATTGAAGTGGGCCTTAATGGATAGTTCAAGTATTTCAAGTAGAATGAGCAAAGATTCCATGGTAGCATTTAATGTGTATGGTATGTAACAGATTATGTCTGTTTTGTAGATGTGTCTCTAATGAGAGTGCTATGAAATTTGCTATAGCTGTTAAAACTTAAGAAGCTATCTACTTTGTTTTTCATGTAGGACATTAAATTATAATGTCACAGCAAAGTCCCATTGTTTATAAGGCCTAAAATCAAATTTAATAACAGGTAGAAAATCTCAAGGATTTCGACTTAGTAAAGGTAAAAAGGGTGCTGTAGATGTTAGGAATTTACGAAGATACAAAAGAAATAATTAGGAATTGCTGGGAGAGAAGGAAAATGAAGACAACCATAAATTCTAATTTGGATGAATGAAAGACTATTCATGCCATTATAAGATGGCAACATCTTCTTTTAAAATTCATTGTATGGAGTTTAGAAGTCTGATTTTTGGCCTACTTTTTAAGGAGGATTAATCTTACTTTGGTACATCTAGTACTTAAAACATACCTTGACCGCTAACTCTTAACTGTAGATGTCTTATACTTCATTTTTAGTTTACAGTCCAGCACAGCTCTCTGTATATGGTAGATAATCAGTAAATGGTTATTAATTGGGTATTTTAATTCATGGTACAAGTAATCCCAATAATCAGCACATGTCCTCTTGAGAAAAACTAATAACCTTGACTTCAAGAAGGGAGCCCTCACAAATGTGTGCATTCTGGGAGGTTCTAAGACAATTGTATTGTACCAATACTCTATTTGTAATGCTACAGTTAGAATAGTGGACATTATTTCTTTTTATCTACTTTAGTTGGATGCCCAATATGCTCTGTTGAGTGTGTCAGCTATTGCTTACATTATGAAAAAGTAGGATTATGGCATACATATCTTGAGTTTTTGGTATGGTAAGATTTCCATTTACCCAGTTACAGATTTTAGAAGCCTTTGGGCATAGAGCAGCAGTTATTCAAACAATTTTAAGATTTAGATTATAAAGTTCAGTTGTGTTCTTAGCTTTCTTTTTTAAAAAGATTTATTTTTACTTATTTATGCATACAAGAACTGGGGTATTGGCCAGAAATGCAGGGGATAATTCCCCAGACACACAGTGGGGAGCAGAACACGTAGATCTCAATGGTAGATCTACCAATGAGCAGTAGACAAGACAGGAGAGGTCTGCTGCACCATGTGGGTCAGCTACTTGGCTGAGGATCACACTCATGCCAAGGTGGCTGACCATAGATCTGAGACCAGGGAAACACCCTGTTTTTTTCTTGACTTTATGAACAGATGGATTAATTTTGAGTCACTTGCCAAATGGCCCAACAGCACATTTTAAAATGAGCAGTGTTCGTCTACGTAAGGAAATTAAGGTAAGTTTTATGCATTCCTTGATTTGCACTTCTCTGCGGTACTTGGTTAGTAGATGCTATAGGTTACTGATGTAGATATTTACTCTCCTGATTAAGCAATCATTTTGTCTACTAGTTTTCTTGCATTATTGTACTTGAGACAAAAAAATAAACTTAATTACTGTGAAACATGTTTTCTAGTAGGAATTCTTTTGGTGCATTCATTGCATATTAAGATTTTTGGATGTATCTGATTTTATGGGCTTGATAAGCCATGTGGTTGTTATTAAAAAAGAACAAAAAACTGACGTAAAACCTGGAATTTAACATGGTAAGCTTGTTATGTAAAAGCTGGAACTTAACAGTGCAGTGACTATGTTGCCATTTAGCTTATATTCATTATTTTAACTTCTCATTTTTCTAGAGAAGAGGTAAAGACCCCACAGAACATATTCCTGAAATAATTCTAAATAATTTTACAACAAGGCTGGGCCACTCTGTTGGACGTATGTTTGCATCCCTCTTTCCCCATAATCCTCAGTTTGTTGGAAGGCAGGTTGCCACATTCCACAATCAACGGGATTATATCTTCTTCCGGTTTCATAGGTAAGGAAGGTATTTTAACTCCTTAAACTTCCCAGTTTCAATTGTGAAATAGTTTCAGTATGAGCCTGTTTTCTAACGTATGTGACAGGTATTACAGATGAGTAATTAGCTTTATTGAATCTTGTCATAACATTAAGGAAACAGTTGGGGGTCACTGAGCTTATATCCTTAATTCTTATTTTGTCTACTTCTGGTCTCAATTCTTACTGTCTTTGAAGATACATATTCAAGAGTGAAAAGAAAGTGGGAATTCAGGAACTCGGACCACGTTTTACCTTAAAGTTAAGATCTCTTCAGAAAGGAACCTTCGATTCTAAATATGGAGAATATGAGTGGGTCCATAAGGTATGTGCTTATTTGAAAAATCAAGACTATCATTTTAAAAGTATGAAACAAGAAAGAGACCAGAAACTTTAATAAGTTTTTGGTGTTTATACTTTAACTTCTGCTTTGAATTTCTTCCCACATGAGGTAGCAAGAACAGTCTTTAGTATGGCTCTAAAGTCTGATGATTAATCCTAGTTTATGAGAAGGATCCTAACCATTATAGTGGTTCTCAGAGACCAGCAACATCACAGGAACCTGTTAGGAAAGCAAATTTGGGGGGTGAGAAGGGGGCACAGACTAGAGTCAGCAACAAAATGACAAAATGGGCCAACTATCTGTTTAAGTTTGTTAGAACATGATTCTGTTGCCTGCTTATTGAGAACTATAACTAGATGTTTTGTAAGTTTGGAGATCATTTAAAAATTGAAAATGAAAACCTCAGTATATCAAACATGATCTCATTTCTAGTAACCAATAGTTAAGTATCATTTTTACTTTAAAATTATATTACACATCTGTGAAATAGTAACTTCATATAGACAATTTTTTTTTTAGCCCTTGGTGTTACTTATAGGTTGTTTACTAATTTATTTTCTCCTAATTTTCAGCCCCGAGAAATGGACACAAGTAGAAGAAAATTCCATTTATAAAATACTAAGGGAATAGTATTGGATTTTGCTAAACACCTATCTTGAACTGGTGACAGACCATTTTCATAAGAACATTTCCTAATTTCTTAAATCTTTTATGTCTAGGCAAATTACCAAATGCCTGCCATTGAGTTCCATTTTTATTATTATTTACAGCAAATACAAATAAAAGTCATTTTGGTGTGATTTTAGAAGTTGCAGTTTAGATTTTCTATATTCTTCTGGGTTATCTGTGGGTAAATTGGAATCAGAATTCAAATTAATTTTTTCCCCTTTGCACCTTCAGGAAACATGGGTTGGAGAGATTTATTGTGTGGTAAATACTGTATAAACTAGCATTTGGCACAGTTTTTGCCAGATTTTTGCATGAATATATTAGAGGCCATGTTTCTGAGATATTTGAACATGTATCAAGCCTTTTAGAAAGGTAATTTTACAGCAAAAATGGAAGAACTTGAAGCAAAATTGGGAATTACTGAAGGTAAACTGGTTCATATTTTCTTGCTTCGTACCTCATTGTATTATACTGTAAATTGTTTTGAAGTTTTTCCTACATCTTCTAGTGGAGCTCTTAAACCTCATCTTTTTTCTATATAACCAGTAGGAAAGCTGTTAGGAAACAGCTTTTAGGTGTAATGGAAATAACCCAACAAAGAAATTAGAAATATTACTAAAACAAAGTTTTCTCCTGACCTTGAAAGTATGTATCATACCTTTACATCTCTAGCAGTCTTAAAAATATATAGCATAAGGTGATGGGAGAAGACTTGGTGGAATAAGTGCTTAAGCTTTAAGACTCCTTCATAGAAAGGGGGAAACTGTCATTTAACTTCATGTTCAAAATAGATGAATACAGTGTATTTAATACCAATAATTAAACAAGAAACTAAGTTCTATATTCAGTTTTTTATTGTATGCTACTGCCAGTCTATATAAAATAGTTACCCTTGTGAAATAGAAATTCATGAAATTTCAGAGAGGTAGATGTTAAGGACTGACAAAAGTAGAAGTTTACATAGTATGGCACTTGTTACAGGGAGAAGCTTTTTTTTACAGCCTCAAATTTAGCTTTCCTTTGCAAGTTCACTGGGTCATGAAAAGTGGTTTGCAAAACCTGAAATGAGAAAGAAAAAATAAATTAGGGTAATGGAGCAAAGAAAACCTTTTTCTGAATAGCATTACATCTCATTACTTCTAGGGAGTTAATTTTTTTCATTTTAGGCACACATACCACACGCACATGTCCCCTTAAATTCTGACAACCAGCCTGAATAAAGTATGTATCATTTATATTTGTAAATAAATAGACTTAAAGGTTACCTTACAAAGCCTATCAAAACATTCTACCATAATACAAAGGTAAATATTAATCTCTTAAATTGAGAAAAATCTGACATATTCCTACAAAGTGAGCAAGAGCTTGGCAATAATCCACTAAGGTAAAAGAAAACAGTTACACATCTCTTTGCTGATAAACAAAGAAACATGTACATGGTTATTAACTGTTAGCGGTGGTTTAACAGCAAAAAAAAAACCAAAAACAAAAAAACTAAATAGTCTAACACAATTGGAATAAACTAAAATTTATATACATGATGACACACAACAATTAAAACAATCTGTGGCAAAACACAAATATCAAAAATTAATAAACATTATGCCTTAATAAAAAATTTCTGTTTTAAAACTATTTTAAAAAATAGTAGTAAAAACATGGGTATAGCCCTTAATCTTTTTAAATATTAACAGAGTAAATCAGTTAATTCAGTACCATCATGTACTCTTTAGACTTGTTGAAAACTTAAAATAATTTGGTAATATTCAAGAGATGAACAGACTCAAAACTTATTCTCAAACTATGATGCCTGAATCAGTGCAAATTACAAAACAAGCAAGAAACAAAAGAGCCAATAGGTTAAGATCTGGCTGTTACAGGCTCAGCAAAAGCAGCACTGTCAAAGCTTCAAGTAGAATAGGAAAGTACAGTGCCATGGTTATTCAATTTTTTTTAATTTTAAATGTCATTTTTTACAGACCAAATTTACTTCTAGAACTTAACCTGAAGGAAACAGGTGAAAACTCTCCAAGACTCTGGCTTCAATCTTCATTTCATTAATGTATAGTACAACCATTTAAATCTCATTTATAGAATATTTAATAGATAAGAAACAGTATTTTTACAAAGAAAGAAAAACTACATATTGTTCTTTAAAAACAAAAAGTTATTTTTTCTCTTTATAGTAAACATTTTAACAGTGGTTAATTTTAGGTATGCTGTCATAATTTCTACTTTCCTTGTACTAGCTGTACTTATACCTTTTTTTTTTTTTTAAGATTTATTTATTTATTTATTTATGCATCCAGTCCAGAACTGGGGTACAGGCCAGAGGTTCAGGGGCAGTGAGAGGCTTCACCAGAGACAGAGGGAGGAGCAGAACAGGCCAATTGATGGGAGTCACTGCTGAGGGGAGCAGCGGGAGGGTCAGGAGAGGTCTGCCAGCCATATGGGTCACCTCTGGGGCAGAGATCATCGAACTCATACCGAAGTGGCTTTAGCTTCTTAGTGCTGTGCTTTAACCCACTGCGCCACCAAGGAGGGCCTCTATACTGGTTTTTTAATGATGAAAAGCCATACTCTGCATATTTTTTACCATGCCCTTCAGTGTGGGTTAAGAATATCAGCATCATAAACATGGAGCTTCCCTACGACCCAGCAATCCCACTCCTAAGTATCTACCCAAAAGACACAGAAACACTGATTGAAAAAGATACTTGTACCCCCATGTTTATTGCTGCTTTATTTACAATTGGAAAAACATGGAAGCAGCCCAAATGCCCAAAAGTAGATGACTGGATAAAAAAGATGTGGTACATATATACAATGGAATATTACTCAGCAACCAAAAAAGAGAAACACATGTCTTTTGCAGCAACTTGGATGGAGCTGGAAAAGATCATGCTTAGTGAGATAAGCCAGAAAGAGAAAGAAAAATACCGGATGGTTTCACTCATAGCAGGAGTATAATGGACCAGGCGAGAAAATAACAAAAATAATGAACAACCATATACCAGAGACATTCTGTGGGGGTGGAGTGGGGAATGGGATCAAAAATGGGGGGGGGGGAGGGAAATGCACGGGACTATGGTGGTGGCACAGGGGTGATTTGGTGATGGGAAACCCGCGGGGATTACAATCGAGATGGAAAAAAAAAAAGTGCAAAATGATGTAAAAATAAACTTTGTAATAAATAAATAAAAAAAAAGAATATCAGCATCAGTATAACCTGGGAGCTTATAAGAAATGCAGATTCTACAGGTTGATCCCAGTCTTACTGAATTAGTGACTTACAAGGTACCATCTAAGTATGGATTAAATTTCTTTCATAGCCCAAAGTGTTTCATATAATACCTACAAGTTATTTTTCTACACTGCTCGGATTATGAGTTATTTCTTTAAATTCTGAAATCAGATATATTTATAACTTTTAATAAATCATTAAACATCTGTAGACTACTATAAATGAAACTATTAACAGATGCCACCCAACTTCCTAACAGTATTTTATATTAAACTAGCATATCAAATAAAAATAAACCACTTTGTAATGTGATCATGAACACAGCAGAAACAGGCATAAAAAGTATCTTTAGTAAATAACCCTTCAAAAATAAGAATTTTGAAAGACTACTACAAATGAATACTTGCCTGAAGCAAGGAATTATTCAACTGTTAAATATGAGGGTACTAGACTGGCTAAAGAACTACTTATGGAAAACCGATTACTCAAAGGTTGCCCCCCTCTTGGTGTTTCAGAAACCTTAACCAATCATTTCTTTTATTTACTGGAAACTTATTATACTTATCCACACACTTCCTGGACACTCCCAAGTCTACAAAGCTTAATTAGAGAGGGCACAACTACGTAACATGGTATTTTAGGAAGCAGCTTCCTGGACTTTGAGGAGTCAGAATGTTTTTAAAGGGTGTGTGCCACACTGACTTAATTTTTTTTAAGCATTATTAGCTTAGTATTTCTTCTTACATATTAGTGACCACACTCCCTGTCTAAAGTACCACAGTATTTATAAAAGGTTGCACACCTTTGGATTACTTTTAATTTATTCACAGTATATTCTGGGGTTAAATCTCTTTTGAACTATCATATTACTGCACACACTGACATTTGATCTGACAGATTCAGATTAGCATATGTAAGTGTGCTTCAAGCTAGATAGTCATTTAGTTTGTTAATCCTCTGAAATCCAATTCACTGCCACCATGAAATTGTTTTATCATTACGTAACAAGAATAAAAAGTAAAGTCTGTAATTCCCCACCCTAAAAGTGCCTGCACCAAATTGGCTTATTCAACTAACTCCAAATTTTCTTTCATTCAAGCTCCCATTTTGCTTTGCTGCTCTACTAATAGGTTAATTCAGAACCAATCTGGATTACTTTAAAAGTCATCCCACAAACACTGCAGAGATTTAACTGTCTAACATCTGCTGAAACTAGTATTTGGGGGCCCCAAAATAGATCATTAGACCAATGCTATAAAAAGTAACAAGGCTTGCTATAGCAAAGGAATTTTCTAGTAATCTATCCCCCTTTATAGTTAGCAAATTTGTAACCTTCTTTATGGTAAAATAGAAACAGTTGTCATGACTACTAAATCATATTTCATCAATCCTCACTTTCTAACAAAAGGCTAGAAACTTGAAGAACCATATAACAGTGTAAGGGATAAATTTGGTCAATTTGTTAAGTATTACAAAAAAGAATTTGATTAGTTATTCCTATTATATGGAATGTTGTTTTAATGTAAGAAAACTTACCATGCAAAGATTCATTTACTACAAAAAGGAACAGACTTTCTGGGGTCTGAAGGGATTTGTACTTGAAGACACTCCAGTCAACAAGGGGTCATGTTGAGCATTCTGCAGACAAAACTGTTTCAAATCTGCAGCTGCCTGGGAAACCTATATATAACAAAGGGGGGATAGAAGATGGTAAGAATGTTTTAATTAAGGTTTTCTCTTATCTTTACAAATACTGGCAAAAAATACTGCTCTTAAAAAGAAAATAGCATGTTATCTGGAGACCAGCAGTCATATATTGACTTCATACTTAAAACATTCCTTATAAATACCACAGTCCTGACTTAACATGGTTACGGCTTAAGATTTTTCAG